CCCCCAGGTCGGGCGCGCCTGACCCCACGCTCAACCCTGGTCCAGAGGCCAATTTCTCTGCCATAAGTGAATCCCGTACGCTGCAACTCGAACAGTGGTTTATTCAGAGGCTCCCCATCAGTTTCTACGCCAAGAAACAAAGGGTCCAGATTTGCCTCAACACTGCTTTCAAAGGCGACGTGTGCACCCGTACATTCGTATAAGCATGAGAGAATTTTGCGGTAACTATTTTAAGGTTTTTTATTCTGAGATTCATAATTTTGAAGCAGGTGGTAGAAGTAGAAATGGAACAACTTCTATCACTACTATGGATAAACTGAGACTTGAGCATGCAGTGAGGTAAAAACCTACGCAGTGAAGACAGGCATGATTCTAAGTAGACAAAAACTTTCCTCAGTTGATTATCCGCTTCTTATTGTTAGAGAGGATAGAACAATAGAAAGGAATATTGCGATCTGTTGCTAAGTTCACAAAAGACTTTTTCGCGAAATTTTCTTTCAAGAATTTTCCATAAAAACCAAGTTTGGCGTTATTGCTCAAGAGGCCCTTCGCTACAAATGAGCGAAGTTTGCTTTATCCTATTTCATTTCAACATAAGTTATGCTCTCTCAAAGTGGAGGCTTCTGAAAAAAGTTGTTGGCTATTTTCAGACCAGAAAATCTTTCTTATGCTAGATACAGTGTTTCTTTTGCGCGCTGCAGATTAGACTCACACTTTACACCAAGAAGGCAAAGCTTTATGGTTGTACAAATATGATGTCAGTACGGTATGCATATTTAGAGCCAGTGGATCAATCCACCCACATGCTTGTTCAGTAGGAAAATGTGGCCTCAGCGCTGAATTCAAATTGAAGTTCATCAGCTTCGGTCTGGTACAGGGTTCTAGCAATTGTCAACCCAAAACTATAACTTTACGTGTGTTTTCTCAAGATGGTTTTGAGATGCTACCTTTATATCAGACTAGAGCATCGCGTTCACCAGCCACGGTAATCTCTCTGAATGCCGGCAGAATACAATTTATATCTTTGCGACAGACCCACAGTAATAAGTACGAAGATCAACAGCTTGTGGGTTTCCTGATTTACGCTTGTTTGAAGATGACCAGTAAAGCGATGTGGAAATGGTAAGTCACTGTGAAGCTGTTTGCGTCTGTTTCCCTGATAGGATCATGTGTTGAGCCGTCTCCTTTCTCGCACAAGTTTGGAGTGGATAGCGTGGTGTAGATATGAGGTCAAAATTGTAGATTTGCCTCGAACCTTGTTCTTTTCCAGCAGATATGCCGTGTTAGATGATTTCAAAGCGATGAACAGTGGTGATGGGTACTAGCATGGTGCTAAGTCTTTTTGCACATTTGCCACGTCAGCGCAGAAGCGCGCTTCAGTGATGAGCGCTCAATGCGACTCGGACTTGGGCGCATACTGAGCAGATTATAGAGGGCGGCGGGCCGGTCCTCCGCATCGTGCATGCGAGTATGGGAACGAAAGCCGCCGGTTTGGGCCGCCTCCGCGGACTGCTGGTCCTGGAACGAAATGCAACAACGCTGCAAAAGGAGCAGTTGGCCGCAAACGACGTAAACTGGCGGCTTTCGTTACCCTACCCCGTGCATGCTATTTAAAGCAAAAATTACAGGTAGCAGAGTCTTCGTGCCAGACTCCCAACTTTTCAGTAAAATTCTCGTCCGAGCTGCCTTTTGAGAGTTGAACATTTGAGAACAGAGAACAGATCTGAGAATTGAGAACACCCCAAAAAAGGTCTTTACCCATTTCGAAGCTCAAATTCAGGGTCTGCGGGTCAAAAAGGCCCAAGACATGCAAAAAGATGGAAATGCAAAATCTGCCGGGACACTGCCTTTAAGTTGGTGACAACCGGAAAAATCGCGCCTCTTGACCGTCTCCCATAATTTTATATGGAACTTTTATTGGAACTATTGGCAGGTCTATCCCAAACGCAAGCGCATCGAACACCAATATATCTTCGTCAAAACTTTTGCTAAAGTATGATTTAGTATATATTACAAAAACCGAGTGAGCGTTTACCGCTTCGAAATATTCGCTTTAGATTTCCTCCGGGGAAACCGGGCTTTTAAAAAAGGAAAATGCGCCGATTTCATGCCCGAAAATTGCGAATCTTTTTTATAAATAAAGCTGAATGTTTGTGTGTATGTCTGTGTGTATGTGTTTACCAAAGGCGGTCCGAGGGAAGGGGAAAGATTTTTTCGGCCCCTTCTTCCATATTCGGGAATTATGGGCTCGAAAAAATTTCAAAAAGACCCCAAATTTTCCTCGGAGTGCGTGGCTAACGCCACGCACCTTAGTTTGAAAAAATTTTGCCACGCAACCCCCCCCCCCCAGGTCCAGAAACCTGGGACTGCTTCTGGTGTTTACGTATGTTCCCAATAGAAATTTTCATTTCTGAAACGATTCAAACCAAACTTTCATAGATACATCTCGAGGCAGTGGCGGAATCGTAAGCTACTTTTCGTCACTGATAGATATCTAGCGATTTTTGCAATGTATCACCTACGAGGCTGGGAGTTCGCACATGGGAATTGAGAATGTGATTACGAAAATTGACAGGGTCGGGTGGAGTCAGGTTTGCCAGCTGTCGGAAATGAAAACGTCCGTTAGAAATGAGTAAAGGCTGCATCATAAGGAGCCGAGTTGCTCATCGTTTGATGTTCCGTGGATGAATTGGCCAAACATGGAATTTTGTAGCTTCATATAAAGTTCTACCAAAAAGATTATAGTGGGTGTGAAACATTGCTTTGAATACTTTAGGGTTTTGTTTATCCATCCGTTCCCTGGACATCTTTGGGAATCGGCATGAAATTTGAAAAATATCGAAACTTGACCATAGCAGGAACCGTGAGACGTAATTTTGGTACCTGAAGGCAGTGTTCGGGCAAGAATGTTGATTTCAAGGTTTCATGCCTACCTGGGTCTATTCGCTACGCTGAATCCAAAAAATTTACACTGAAGAGCTCGAAAATGGCGAAAAAGTGCTCTAAATCAGGAAAAATCAGCAAATAGGCAAGGCGTTCCACTCTGCGAAGTCACCCTTCCAGCTTTCGCAGCGATCTACTCGGTTCCACACTTTAACGGTGGCGATGTGGGCAATTAGCGGAGAAGAGCTCCGGAGCTGGGAGAATGACTTCACTGAGCGAAGGACCCGCATTTGCTAGTTTCGCCCCTGCGTTAAAGGGCTTTTTCGCCGTTTTCGCGCTTTGCAGTGTTGATTTTCGGATTCACCATAGTGAATAATCACAGGTAAGAGGAATTCTCAAAATTGACTTTTTGCCCTGAGAATGCCTCCAAACTGGTTGCTCTGCAAGTAATCCTAGGAGTATGAAAGACGATGAGAAGTTGTTTTAAATGCAATCATAATCTTGTCAAAATCTTTGTTGCGCAAAATGTGATGCTCTTTGAAAGAATCGTAGTCTTTCGGGACAACCTAATATATTAAGTCAATGCAAAAGTTTGTGCTTTTTTTGAAAAATAATTCCTTGCTTTTTTGATGGATTTCACACTCTTAATTTTGTTGAAGGTGAAACTCTTTTCTTTGTGAAAGTAAATTTGCTGCTCTCTGATAAAAGATAGCTCTTGGGAAACAGGCAGGAGAATAAAATTCAGCTTTGTTCATGTAAAGTTAGGCCGCAAACCTTAAACTTGCGAGAAGAATAGGAACAGGCGCTTTGATCCAGTATCAGATGAGCATCTCAGTGAAAAGTTGTGATTAAGCAATACAAAACAGCAACTTAGATTTTTGGGCATCTCCGAAAATCATAATTTTTCACAGAAATGTCCATTTGGTGCAAACATTGCACTGTTGGAAAGTGTGGATTAAAAGAATTGTAGTGCCGCTTACATCGATCTCTATCGCAAGTTTCATTTTTATCGGCCTAAGTTCAAATCTGAAGCTGAAGTGTGTCCCACTTTTATCGTGAGAGCTACTCCTTACTAGATAGCACCAAGGCACTTTTAGAAAAAAACGGGTTTCCTCTATCCAACAAAATTAAGTTCGCGTAATTCCATAAAGGGAGCAAGGAGTTATTTTTTGAGATAATGCTCACGAAATTTTGGAACAACTCTGTATATAAGTTTGCTGCTTAAGTTCCGTCCGTTTTTTGTTGCCTTGTCTTTGAAGCAGTTGTTCCTAGAAGTTCTTGTTCCTTGATACGATCTTATGTGTTCAGTAGAAAGCTGCTTCTAATACACACTAAATTTCCCTAAAGTCTTCAGCATAACAGATTGAAGGGCTACGGTCCCAGGTGGCCAAACCACTATCTCCACCAAAAATATCTTCTTGCAAGAAAGTCATCACACTGCAATCCCAAATCATGTCCTTATGATGTTCCGAGATTAAGCGCGTAACAGGCTAACAGGTATATGCACCAGCACACTTTCATAAAAAAAAACCTTCCTGCTTATAAGATCTGTTGTTGAAAACTCAATCATTTGTATGAGTATTCTATGATGTTCGACTTTTTTATTCACCTTAAAAAATCTTGGGCTCTTACATATTTGGCTATGGAATAAAATCCAAATTTTTCTCTATCTAAAAATGTTTGCTTAGAGCGAAATCACAGGTCAAAGAAGATAGATTCGGACAAAAAACCTATATACATATTTTCCAACTTCTTGCCTCTTTTTCAACAACGTTTTTCGTATTCTAACAGCCTTCTAATACTTATAAAAGTGCTTGGTCTAGTGAAGCTGAGATCATTCAAAGATGTTGATTTGGATGATATTATGTTGTTTCTAATTCGAAAAGTGCGAATTGGACAGAACTTACGCAACAACTTGATATTTCCTGCAAAGTTTAGCCCATGGTTAAACACGGACAATTTTTATAAATTGTATGTCCTTCCTCTTGTATCTCCCTGACAGTCTCTAAATCAGAAAATTGCAAAGAGATTCCAAGTAGAAGAGAGGACCGGACTGATTTCTTGCTAGTAATCATAAAAGTACTGCTAAACGAGCAGCATTTTTCAAGGCTACTTACCCCTTGTACACGCAAGAGTAATTACTCGCTATCTCACTATAAGGCTTGTAATTGTCTAGATAGTCACATTGGTGCCAGTTCACATCTTCTTGTAAGTATTCTTCAAAATCGCAGTCCCACTCCTGGAACATTTCTAAGGATCACGAGTGCGAACTAATACAAAATGACTTTGCCGTTACTCGTATGTTGTCTCAAGTTATCATCTATCAGATCAATAAAATCTGTAGTATTAAGTATAAGTTAGTTATTGGTACACTGATTACTATGTGTTCAAAACTCTTCTTGTATTGACAGAAACTGTGGTTGACAAAGATAATGCATCAACTACGCTAGTCTCTGAGAGCTTCTATGATCGAAATTGGGAAAAATTAAGGCGTCGCTTTTGAAAATGCGTTATAAATGCAAATACTCACATTGCTATAACTCTCTTTAGGTTTTATATATGCAGCTCAGGTTCATTGTTCATAATCAGCGCTATTTAATTCATCTAATGGAGTGTTTGAAATCAAGGAAGTCTAGCTCTTTCATGTGCACGGCGTGAATGCGATGTTGCTGCGAAAGTGCAGCATTGGTATAACTTTTAACAGAATTACTCCTTCAAGCTCACACTCTTACAATCGTAAACAGCTTGGTCCATACGAAAGTTTACAAAAAAAATTGAGAGAAGCGATTTGGTATTCTGCTATAGTCGCTAAACCTTTGCTACAGTCGCTAAATTTTGCTATTCCATTGCAATTCGGGTTTAAGCTTATACAATAAGATGTTAGTTATAAGAAACAATTGCAAATGTTTGTGCTTCTTCAGGGAGTTCCAGTTGTCCTACAAATGTAAATTCACAGAGGACGTGCAACTCTGTAATACTATGTTCTTTTGTATTAGGTAGTTGATGTAAACACTTGGTTAGTAGCCAGTCAAACCAGCGCACACCATGGTTCAAAGCGATTGAATATGCCTTCTCCCTCTTTATGGTCCGTCAGTTGGGCGCACTTTCTTATCTTTAACTTTGAGTAGAGAAAGAACAAACTTGGAACGAAAGCTATCGCATAAGACAGTGGAAAATATTTTATGTGAAGACATAAGATTTGTAATTTGAGACACTGTAGTTCGATAGTACTTGTGTGTGTTTGTCTGGCCGGCTTTTTTCAAGTCTTGCAAATATAATAATTTCGAAAATGAGTTCTTTCCAGCTTACCACTCTTTGACGTTGAGTGCATTTGGTAAAGGGTCTTGATTTTTTCCATTATTCTGGGTTCCCTCAGTCAGTTTCTTTCTATAGCCATTAATAAACTCGACAAAAGTAGTCGCATTAGAGCCAGTGATTATACCATCCTCACATTCCGCATACGGGCCCACTGAAAGAGATTTTCCTGACATCAGAGCAGTGTTCCGGCAGAATTTCGTTTTCCAATTTGCACCTAACCCTTCTTGTTGTGAGGAATCCATATCTGGGCTTTCCAGTGCATGAAAAGGCATATAGGAGCTTGAAACGAGGTTTTCTAGGTCCGCATTTAGCGGAAAAATACGTGTAAGTAGGGGGAGGAAGGAGGAGGGTCCCGGAGCAATGGGGTGGGGTGCTAAAGACTTCTCGCTTATTCTCACTGAATGGGGACTTAAGAAGCTGAGAAAAAGGCCATTTTTCGCCATCTTCATGTGCTAAAAAGCCCAGATATGAGTTCTTCGAGGCGAGAAGGCTCCGAATAGGTGAAAAACTGAAAGGCAAATTTCTGTCGGGACGCCGCCTCTAAGAATGACATTTACTCAAAAGCTCACCAGCATTGCAGATTGTCGGCAACAGAACAGTCAGCTGAAAAATTCAACAATTAAGCAGCTCTAACTCCACAAGCTCGTAAAAAACTTGAACACTACCGATGATATAACAAGGAAGACTCTGGCCATAGTTCTATGTTCGAACTGGGTGGGCATCCTTTTATTGAGAGGTGTTCATTGAATTCACGAAGGGGGTCTGCCACGTACTTGACATACGTGTTTATTGCAAAACTTCTAAATGTAAAACACATTTGATTCAGCCGATCTTGTTAATTATTACATTTGCACAATTAGGTGCCTAGAATTTGATTTTGACAATCAGTTCACATTAATGATAAAACGAGACGTGGCTAAACGGAACAATAGACTTTATACTTTAATTAGCCACGATACGTGATGTGCAATCGGATCAACTTAGAGCCGCATGCATTACCATCCTCGCCGGGAAGGATTGCAGCTTAAAAGAAAGTTTTATATGCTAGAGCTCCAGACGTTTGGATTTCACGCTGTCTATCCATCCGTAAGTATCCTACTATCCTTCATATGAACATATTGAATAGGAGCGAAAAGTTTTACAAGCCGCAAATTCCAGGTTTTTGTATGATCCCGCCATGATCCCCAGCGGCCGACAATTTTTTCTTCAAAGTCATTTTTTCCTTCAAAATCGACAAAAACTCCAAAGTTGTGCTGTTTATCTAATCCAGCAATGTCAATCATGTTTCTAATAAGAACAAATGATGTTTTGAAGTCATGACATTTACGATGAACCACAAGTCGAAAGCTTATCAAAAGTTTCGATATTTCAGTAACTCATTGTTCCTATCGGCAACATGGTCAGCACTTTGATTTAGATGATGAGTGCAACTTTGGAACGTTTTCGTTGACTCTGCGGGAAGAAAAATGATTTTTCGAATAAGGGTTGTTAGCCGCTGGGAATCATCAGGTAATCATATAAAAAGCTGGAAAATGCAGCTTGTATAGCTTCTCGCTCCTGCTCAATATGTTTATAGTGAAGGATAGTAGGAATACGTACGCATAGGTAGCTAGTGGGAATCCAGATAACTGGATCAAAATATGAAGCTTTCTTTTGAGCTGCGATCCCCTCTCCGGCGATGATGTTAAAGACAGCGGCTTGGCAAATGTCAACTTTGGTATACTCATCGTTCTCGGTTCTTCTGGATGAGCTAAGTCCGAGACTGTGCTTTGCAGCTACAAAAGATCTTAGTAACCCCCTTTTCCAGAGGTGAGAAGTATTTGGGCGGACGGCGTGTGCCTGCCCTCTAGAGCGCGATTGGGTCGTGAGTGGAGACACCGCACCTACAGTACCCACGAGCCAATCGCACTCTAGAGGGCAGGCATACGCGCTCCGCCCAAATCACACTTCTCATGTTTGGAAGAGCCGGTCATTGATATCTTTTGAAGCTGCAAAGCACAGTCTGGTTAGCTCATTCAGAGGAACGAGAGTGATGAATATCAGAAATTGTCATACTGCCGAGTCGCCTTTAATGCCTGCGGTCCTTAGATGAGCAACTGAAAATTTGCGGATTCTGAACAATATGAGCATTCAACACTTTCTTATATAATTCTATTCTCCATGCAACCTCGAAGCTGCGCCTAAGGGAATTGTTGGATTGCAGGATACCATCTAGATGCACTATTAGGTTGATGCAAAGTCAATGCATGCTCCTTATTCTAAAGCGGTAGAGACAAAAAAACTTTTAGAATTCATCGTTCGGTAGAGCAGTGCAAGCTCTGCAACTTGTTTGAACGGCAGAACTTTCGATCTGTATGAAATTTGAGGGAAAAATCTAGAAAATTTTGAACACCCAAAAACCAGATTTCCATCCAGAAAGATCCTGCGAATTCCCAACTTGGTCAAGCATGTACTATACATATAGATATCGTACTTTGTAACTGGAAATTGGTAAATAAGATAAGGCAATCGCCTTTTTCTTTTTTTTTAATGTTAAATTTGATATTCTTCGACAACTAACTGCTCGTAAAGGCTCAAAACTTATTATCGTACTTCCACAGGCTTGTAGTATGGAGTTACCTATGTTTACCTATGTCGGGACAGCCCAACATTGGTTTTGTTAAAAGAAGCCGCGTTTAATTAGCTTGAACCGGAAGTAACGTCGCTTTGATTTTAAAAAATTAGTAACTGTATCCTATGTGAGCGTACATGCTTACAAAAATGTAATTAAAAATGAGTATTCATCTACTTTCTAATAACCGCACTACGGCTCTTTGGCGAGAAAGGCCTGCAGAGATAGAAATTCGAGTAGACGACTCACGAGCGACACGATTTTCGAAAATAAATCGTTAAAAATCTGAAACGCTGCAGAACAACCTGAGCATGTTTTTTGTATGTTTTGTGAGTTGGTCTTTCTGAAAGCGTCAAATTTGTGCTGATCAAGCGTTCAACCCAACATTACTTCAATTTTAGTCATCAAAAAATTACAGCAAGTGCACATATGCATACCTGATGCGATAAGTTATTTTTGTGATCATCTTAGAGCTCTGTGGGATTCATGTGAACAGAAATGGGATTTTTGTACATTTGGAAAATTTTTGATTTTTCAACTTTCCTCGTATCAAACTCTCCAGGTTATTCAAACACCGTCTTGTGGGGCCTCCTTTGTGCTATCCAGGACTCGGCACAGGTGGCTTACGGGGCAAGCTGGATAGCGTTTTGGAATAAAAAGCAAGGGTAATTTGTTTGAGCGGAAACTCCCCCCCCCCCCACCCAATCGCCTTCTCCCTTTATGTCACTTTTTATCTTCTAAAGAGAAAGCGAATGATCATTTCTGCCTTATTGATCCCATCCCTGCAAAACAATTCTGTTTCAACAGTTTAAGAATTTTTAAGAAATTCATTTTTCGGCATTTTTTTTCAAAAAATCATAACTGACCTCGATTAGCCCAGACTTGACTCGATTATTGATAAATTACGAGAAAACTCAAGATGATGGCTGTTCTGGATTTTTTTGCACAGTTTCTAGATTTTTAGAATCTTTGCTTAAAAATTCCGAATTTCGGTTGATCTCGTTCTTTTTTATCTCTGCAACCTGAACATGTTAAGAACTCCTCGGGAGACCTTCGGAAACTACAGGCTTTACGCTTTCTAACAAAATTTGAATTGCGGAAAATTGCTGTGACGGAAAGAAGTTTTGATTTTTTGAAAATGGTGCGAACGAACTTTCGGTTCAACCTAATATTAGGTTGTCCCGAAAGTTTTGTCCGTTTTTTCAAACTATCATAAAAACATGTGGAGCGAAGATAGAGAAACGCTCTAAGCGCTACTCGACGCATCTTTTCCTCCTCTTTTTAACTGTCATGCTCCCATGTCGATTACTCTTTTGCTT